ATTTTTCCAAACTCTCGAATGTTTTGAGTTCTTAGAGAGCACTCTCAGTGTCTCAGCTCGTTTGCATAACTTTCAATCTTGACTTTTAGTTCGTAGAATTGGCTTAGCCGTCATATAAATACCTTTGGATCTAATATTTTTTCAATTCACTTGCCAGCCTGCCAAATCGACAATTCGAAAAAAAATCTCGAAAATCACAAAAATGTTCTATTGTATAATACAATTTGTATTAAACATGTTTAATATGATGCTGCAACATCAGAAATCGAAACACCATGGAAAAACAACGATAGGCGTTTTACATTATTTAGCTTATCAGCTAAAACTGATGAAATACTTTACGTTGCTTTAGCAATACAAAATTCACTTTGGGTATGAAAAAATTCGTATTGGATTTGAAGAGAAATATTACACAAATTTCTCTTCAATCCAAACATTTTTAACAAAACTTAACTCAAATTGCTTATTCTTCTGAACTTCAATTACTGTACTTGATAATAACACGTAAATGTATACACGTGTCCTATATAAGAAAAATGAAAAATTTTAAGAATTCATTTGATATTGATGATAGGTATACTTGTAAATTGGAATAAAAACAGATGTGTCATTGAAAAATTCTGTTTTTTAAAATGAGCTTAGTTGGCAGTCCAACTCAGAAAAATAATCATTTCTCTCTCACTCTTCCTTATAAATAGGCTCCGTTTTCAAAGAATACAGTTAGTTTAATTTCGCTTGACTCAGTGGTCGTTTCGTTCAAAATATATTGAAATGATTTTGTACACGCTTGTTTTTGTGGCATTTTTAAATGGATGTCATGGTGGCGGTGGCGGTGGCGGTGGTTGCTTTTCTACGGCAAGCACGAGTGGCGATTTTAATATTGATGAATTCGAATATCAAGGAGATTCAATTATATTTGCGTGCATAATAGCTGATTCGTAAGTATTCCAAGTTTTTTTTTTTTTCATTTCTTTCCAAAACGCATTCCCATTACACCTCAGCCAACCTGAATTTCACATGACTGAAGTAAACGGAAGCATTCCTTCAGCCTTAGTTGATCGACTAGATAATGGAAGAGATCTATCGTTGTTTTTTCATGACGTTAAGAATGTGGTAGATTCATCATGCGGTAAACATAATCCTTCAATTAAACAACACAAAACGAAATGATTTTTTCAACAAAACTTGATTCATATTTTTTATTTTTAACACTTTCTTTTCATAGTTTTACTTCGTTCATTTGCTAACGGTGAGTTTCTCTTAATATAAATAATTGTGTAAAATATCAATTCAATTTCATTTTTACAATTGTTTGAGTCTTATGATTTTTCCGCCCTTAGAATGGTCCAGAAGATCCAACAACAATATTTGCATTATTTCGTATGCCTACACAACAAGTACATCTAAAGTGTTAAAAATGTATCCTATTGTAAATCAAATGGTAAAAACTGGGCGACTTGAATATGTGGCGAAGATGACACGGGATTTGGTGTTTAATGTACGTGGAAAATGTTTAGAAACGCCGGAAAGACGATGTCTCAAAAATCTATCACAGGTTGATATCAGTGGTTTTAGTTTTGGTGCGCATATCGCTGGAAAAACTTGTCAATACCTGTTCACGAGAACGGGCGAGAGGGTCCGAATGCTGTTAGGTATGTACTCTATTCACACATTATGAAAATTAAATAGAAGAAAGTACCTTAACAAATGTGTTGATTTCAAACAGCTTTAGATCCGATAAAAACGCCCCTCTTCGGAGCAAAAATAAAAGATTCCATTATGAAAGGTATTGCTGATTATGTTCAAGTAGTTCACACCTCCAAAAATGTGGGGATATGGGACCAAATTGGAGATGTGGATATCTATGTAAAATATGAGAAACAGAAAAATTTGACTTCCTTAAATGATGAACATGGACTCGCATTTTTCATACATGTTGGAATATCAACTAAGCGACTTAACATGTGGGCGTCTCAAAGTGAAAATGGAAAGGGTGATATGTGGCGATATGTTGGTAGGACATTGTCGGATAATGAATGCAGAATCGGTGTATATGCTGCTCTGAACCCGATTCACAGGGGAAATAAATTTGGTCTTTCTTTGAAGAGACGTGGTAAAGAGTTCTGGGAGGGACTTGGAAAATATGCTGATGATGAAATCCTTTTGGGGACTCAAGATGTTGAAAAAGAAGAGAATATATCGAACGACCCAGATAGCAATATATGCATATTATGCTGCGAAAATCAGAAAGATACCATTTTATACCCGTGTAAACATAAGCACACTTGTATTGCTTGTTGGAAAAAGTGGAAAGCTGAAAGGAGATTAAACGCAACATGTCCATTTTGTACACGCAAAGTTACTGAAGTGGAAGTCATAAACTAAGTTTTTGGTACGTTTGCACTTTGAACACCATTTCGCTTCGAATTGTTCATATTTCTGAATTGATTATTTAAAATGGAAATTTTCCGATTAAAATAAAGTCCATTTTTATGATAATGAATAACATATAATATTTTGAATTACTCCTTGATTTTCGAAAACTTTATGCAAAGAATGACTAACGGGACCCAACATATTTGATAGATAATCTCAAATTGTCAGCATTCAAAATAAATAACGTTTTATTTGAAGTAAAAAAAAATTGAAAAAAAAACAACAAAAAAATTATAAAAAATTACAAATATTCGCTATGAAAAAGTGCTTGAAATTGGATTATGAATATATTCATCAATTTTCAATGTTCACCAGCTTAATGATTTACTTGTTTACGAATTTGTATCATCTTTTATAATGAATTTAGAGAAAATTTTATTATTCTTTTACGTCATTTATTATGGAGAAATTTATGACACAGATGTGCTTAGTTGGCAATTCAAATAAGTTCAATGTCGAACAATCATTTCTATCTCTTATAAACATCGTCCTTATGAAAGCACTGTTTAATAAAGTGCGATCGCTAAATTCGGTTGTATTCAGTTTTGATGAAAATACTTGGAGCAAAGTGACAAAAGATAAACGAAAAAATGATTATTTTCGTGTATACGGTCATTTGTGCAGTATTTCTAAGCGAGCGTAATGGTGCTTTTGGTGGTGCCATTTCTTCGAAGAACTCAATGCCAATAACAGGCGATGATTTTAATATTGATGAACTCGTATATCAAGGAGATCCCATTAAATTTTCGTGTATAACAACAGATTCGTAAGTATTCCAAGTTTTGGATTTTTTATTCTGTTTTCATTTTCCTTTAACTCATCCGTATTACTTTGCAGACAACACGAATTTTACATAACTGATGTAAATGGAAGCATTCCGTCAGCTTTAGTTGAACGACTAACTAATGGAAAGGATCTATCGTTGTTTTTTCATGATTTTATGTATACAGTCGACTCTTCATTCGGTAAATTTTCCATTCTGATGAAACTCCCAAACATTTTATCATTCTAAAGCTCTTTCAATCAAACATGTAATTTTATACCGTTTATTTTTCATAGATCTGCTTTATGCGTTTGCTAAAGGTACGTTATTTTTTCTCTCTCTCCATCTCTTTCTTCATTTTTCTGTGGTTTTCTAAGAAACAGCTGTAAAAAAATTAATTTAAATTCCTTCAAAAACACATTAGGTGTCTGTGTGATTTACATGCATTATAAAGTGACTCACTCAAGGCTCAAGGCTTACATTATAAAATTGCAATTTTATACTTTTCAGAATGGTACCAGGCATCCGAAAAAAATATTTGTATCGTCTCGTATGCATATTCAAAAAGTTCATCGAAACCCTTAAGCATGAATCTTATTTTAAGTAAAATGGTGGCAACACGACGACTTGAATATGCGGCAAAGATGACACGCGATTTGTTATTGGGAGTACGACAAAATTGTCTTAATATCAAATGGTATAAAAGGTCATGCCTAAAACATTTGTCACAAGTTGATGTGACTGGTTTTGGATTCGGTGCACACATTGCCAGCCGAACTTGTCAATACTTGTTTGAAAAAACCAGCGAAAAGGTCCGATTGCTATTGGGTATGTATTCTATGCAAAGCTTCACCAAATTGAATAGAGAAATGTATTCTTAACGAATGAATCGATTTCAAATAGCTTTGGATCCTTTGAGATCACCTCCCATTGGAGCAAGAATAAAGAATACCATCAAGAAAGGAATTGCTAGCTATGTTCAAGTTATTCATACCTCCCAAATGTTTGGAATATGGGATAAAATTGGAGATATGGACATATACGTAAAATATGAGCCCGAGAAGAACTTACTTGCTATAAATGATGAGCATTTAGTTGCATTTTTCATTCATCTTGCAACATCTACTAAGCGACTTTTTATGGCGGCCAAAGTGAGTGTAAACGGCAATGGCACCGTATTGAGAAGTAATGGACCAACGTCTGTTCAACCAATAAATTTTGATTATATAATCGGTGTGTATGGTAGACATGACTGGGTTTGTGATGGAGATGTATTTGGCCTTTCGTTAATAAATCGTAACACAGTTTTCTGGGGTGCAATTGGCAACTTTTCCAAACACGAAATCTTTTTGGGGACTCAGGCACTTGAAAAAGATAAAAGTGTATCGGAAGACAGCGATGATTGCATATTATGCTTTGAAAATGAGAAAAATGCCCTTTTACTACCATGTAATCATCGGGAAATATGTCATTCTTGTTGGGATATGTGGGAAGATATGCCACGAGACTCAGTATATTCAACGTGTCCAATTTGCAGACAAGAAGTGGATGAGGTAAAGATCAAAAGTGGATAGGATTTTGCCAACTTTCCTCAACATTTTGTCACTTGATACTTTGATACAAAAATTGAAATAAACAACAAAACAACAAAATAGAGTTTCATTTTTATTCTTATTTGACACCATTCAAGACACTAATTCAGAAATAAATACTGAACCCTTCATAAACATTTAGTTCAAATGAAAAATTGACGCGAAAAAAGATAGTATTTAATTGCTATAGAGCAAAGTAAAAGTTGCACCAGTTTGCACACCTCAACGAATAAGACTCATTTTATTGAAACTGTTCTAGGTGTAATCGTTGTATATTCATCGCAAAGTGTTCTTCCATCTTCGAGAAGTTGTAAAAAAGAAGAACTTTTGATTGACTGAAAGTGCTAATAAAATTTTCGCAGAAACATGTAGTATTGAAAAGTATTGTTAACCTTAAAAAAATCCATAATATATGGTAATTATATAATAAGTATAAATAAATTAATAATATGATGGTATAAAAAAATCCAAATTGTTCACTCACAATCTGAAAATGAGAAAATAAAATTACACTTCATACATGTGTTGTACAAATGATAAAAGTAGAAAAATTAACCTTTTTGAAAACTTCACAATTGCATTTGGCACCAGCGAGCCCCTCAAGATGGATCTCCTTTTGAGTGAGTGCAAGAAAGATGGCCATATCATTTTTCAAATTTAGCTTGTACCATGCCATTTGGTACATTGTATGTCCGACTTCTTCAAATCGTTCAACTATTTTGCCGCCAGTATAGCAAAATATGTACAGTAAACTTATTGCCATAGATGTCGGAGTCATCACTTTCAGGATGAATAGAAAATCTGCATCCGCAAAAGACTTGAAGACGTCTCAAAATAAAAAGTAGAATCGAAAAAATTAAATAAAATTATTCCACTTACTTCATTCATCTGCAAAAATAAGCTTCCAAACGTAATGATCGCAAATAGAATATAAGTGAAAATGAGACCACGAGCATCATTCGAGAACTTAACCATATAACTGGATATGAAAGAAGACAATGTATTAGATTGGATCGCACAATTGTGGGTATTTGCACTTAACTCTTTGACCACAAAATAAAATTCCATAATTTCGTACAATTTCCTTCGCAGTTTAATATTATCTTCACGCGTTAACTTATCGGGATCCATTTCGATCAGTTCTGTATTCAATTTGAATAGTTGCCTTTTAATGTCCGAAATAAAAGCCAAGACGAAAAAACAAACTCCAACGATATAACCCATAGTACACAATAAAATATATACTGTGGTAAGTGCCGCCAATACTTGAATTGAATATGCCGTCAAATAACCAGTCAGTGTTTGCTGATTGAATGGAAAACTTAAAGACAAATGAATTTTAAAAGTCTAGCACCATTCGCCTCTGATTATGATTGATTGCACTTACGTTCCCGGGAAAATTAATAAAAACGACTCCTTTGAATGACCCAAGAAAAAGTACTTGACAAGTGACACACAAATACTCGGCACACTAAACATAAAGATGATCAAAGACCTTGCGATTTTATTGTACATTTTGAGCATCATTTCCATTTGGTCATCAGCTTTTTCGTAGATGAGTCGACCGACATTGTTCTGAATTTCTATTGAGTAATTATTATTTTTTTCAAATGAAACTTTCACCACACGCGTATAATTAAAAGACTTACTGGTTCCGATTATTGCCTCAAGTTCCACTAAATGATTGAGAAACCTTTTGTTGTTCGTCATATAAATCGTGTACCACGATAAGAAAAGTGTTACACTATGTATTATGTAGTAGGAGCATTCAACATATTCACGAAATAATTGAGCCGTGAATGCAAAATACCACAAACACGATTCCAATATTGCAATGGACATTCCATAAAATATACATCTAGCTATGACACCGTAGGTTTTGTCCCAAATATTCGAGTTTGATTGAAATATTCCTAAGCGGCGGAAATACATAATCAACAAATCCAAGGATTTCATAATTCAAATAGTTTTTAAATGATAACACACTGTAACAAATACTTGAAATTATTTAGAAGGTCTGTTTATTTTGGATGTCAAAATATAACTATTAACATAAACTCGTTTCACGAATCTTTTATGCATTTTTATATGTATCTATTTCTTTCATTTTTCATTATGTATGACTTAAACATTTTCGTATACATTGGTTGTTGTCACGTGCTATTTTTCATTATTTTAATGGTTGTTAATAGTCTGAATTGTGCTTCCGAAATTGTTTTAATCAATTTTGAAAATATAAATTAACTAGATAACAGCCGAGAGTGAAAAGTGAATTTTATGAAATCATGCAAACGTAAGCATATAATTTCATCGGAAGTGCGATTAAAATGGATTCAAAAACGTATAATAACGGCACATTCTCATAAATATTTAAAAATAACGTGTGCTACTTTAGTGAAGCGTAGCACCGTGTTTTGAGTCATTTTAAATAATTTTCTTATTCTGATTTGTTTTGGATGACCTTTTTGGTTTTTAATAATATGGATAAGAGTTGTGAAAGGTATACTATTACTTTCGGCAATTTGAATCATTACAACGATTATAATTGTTTATATCTTGAATTTGCTTATTAAAATCGGTTTTGTTTTCAAGTAATGAAATAATTGTGTTAAATGATTGCTTTTCATATAAATATTTAAGTTGCTGATGACATGAATGATCCCAAAACAATGGAATTTAAATTTATTTATGAAGAAACTCTAACGCACGAGATGGACAAAATGAGAATTGGAGAAAAGCATCAAGCTCAAGAGGTTTTTACTTACCTTGTACATAATGTGGACATTTACCTTGAGTGATTCAAGCATTTTAAGCCAATTTTCGATTTAATAAAGTTATAATCAAAAGCATCATTATAATTTGAAGTACTAAGACTCTTGGTAGATAGCATTTAAAAAGAAGAAATACCAAGAATTCTTTACCTTCAGATTCAAATATCGTCCCTTTTGCATTTCTTATCATATTTTCGAAGCTTAATTTGTCTGAAATGTTAAGAAAAATGTCTCAAGTCCCATCCAGATAAAAGCCAGAAATAATAAGACATTATGCAAATTATGTTCATCCGATGCTTAATGAACGCTCTAGACATACTTCGACGATAAAAACTCTGTTATTGTTTAGTTTGTTTTTCGCAAAAAAAAAATGATAACTTTATTTCTCATTTTGAATTAGTAAGTACGAAAGCGCACTTTTGCTTTTTTTAAAAATATTATAAATTAAATGAAACACAATTATGATTATAAGCTAATTTCCATTGTTCTTTCGAAAAAAAATCGCTCTAATTGCTTGTATCGATTAACTATCGGAACATTTCGACCGTCTCCGCGCGCAAAAATGACTAAAACCTTCGATTTTCTAAATTACATAATTTGATTATTTAAAAGAAAATTGCTCGTTGACGGTGTGTGTGTGTGTGTGGATTCAATTGAAACTGAGTTAGATCTGTTTTCAGAATGAGTGAGAAGGGAGTATACAGTACAATTTGTAAGTGTTGAAAAAAAAAACTAATTTCGATTTATGTATGTTATTCCCAAAATGAAATGAGCAACAAAACATTTACATATTTTATTAATTAATTTTTTGGCATTTTGATCAAGTACAAAATTTACGTGACAAATCATGTGCAACTTAATCTTTCCGAATTAAAGAAATGACAAGTGGCTTATCATTTATTTTTATTTGTTTGTCAAAATTCCTCTCTAAAGTCATTGGTCCAACTCTTTACACTTCATTTTTTTTAAATAGAAAATCCTATATTACACATGTGTGAGTTATATATTCTTATTTTGCTTTAAAGTTTACTGCAAAACAAAAACAAAGAAAAAAAAATTGATGTTAAATACAAAAAAAAAGTCGTCTACACATATACAATGCTAATTATTGTTCTTGGTTTATTTAGCGCGTGTACCTGCTTACAATGCGTACTATCACTATTCAAACTGAACCGTTCGACTAGCAACCGCGCACACAAAAATTAATAATACAAAAAAAATGTAATCCCTTTTTGCCGACCGTATTATCGGAATAAATAGAGTGTGCACAAGTGACAAACAATTTGAAATTCGTTATGAAATTTTTCATCTAATTTAGATGAAAAACTCAACATTACTAGAGTTTGGCAAAAATGGGAAATTTTGCTTGTTTTATTTTTATGTGCGAGTTTGTGTCGGATCTTAGCAAGCGGTTTCAATTCATCAATTCTTTTTTTTTCGTTTATTTTCAAACTATTTAATTTTATTTAAGCATAATAACTATCATCATGCATCAAAAATGTTCATATCATTTGTCCAATTGCTTTTCAACCTTTTTTCTTTCAAAATGAAAAAAACACAAGTGTCTCTCTGTAATTGTCTTCTAAAAGCTAAAAAAAACAGGAAAACTAAAAAATATAGTTTTTGTTTGGTGTGAGTGTTTGTGTGGCGGTATGTGTGTGTGTCTGCTTTTTGTTTTGTATGGATGTGGGTGTGTGTGTGTGTGTTTATGTGTCTGTGTGCATTTCTTAAATGAAAAGATGATGAAAATGTTGCCTAAATCGAATTGTCTCTTGAATTTTTTTTAAACGTTTTGTTCTACAGCAGATTCCTGTGATTTAGTTTGTTCAGATTTGATTCAATTTTTAATGTGAAAATTGCTTGTTTGTTCGTTTTCTGAAGAAAAAAAAATTTGGCTTAGTACATATATAATGATGGATGACTTGATTGGCGCGTTCAACTCTTTGAATTGCCAGGGGATCTTTGTTGTTGCCGGTCAATTTGTCGTTCTCGTTGCTGACGTTGCTTTTGCTTTTGATGCCGTCGCGAACGACATTGTGATAAACAACAATCATCGGCATTTTCATGGAGCGGTGATGGTGTTAGTCCATTTAGACGATTTCGTGCCGCACTTTTGTTGCAGGCTGCACGAGCACAACGCTTGCGATCACATTTTATGATTGAATCCTGTAATCAGAAAGAAACATCCCATGTTAATGGACTGGTTTGCAAAAAGAAAGAAGTTTTCACATGTTTATCGACGATGACTTACTTTACATCTGCATTTAACGCATTTTTGTTCGCCGTGCGACGGAATTGTTGGGTGCCATTCATGTCCATTTTCATAGAAGTTGTTTGTCATCTTGCAACCTCCATGTGATAAAATTTCTTCGACCGATTTGATTGTACCTTTCTTTGTGCCTTGATCACCCATCAATTCGGGATCGTGTGCCTTCTTCTCCACTGGTGCTTCTTTCACCTGAAAATTAAATTCCATTTTTTTAGTAAACAAGTTGTTGTGAAGGAATAGAAACTTCTTCGAAAATCGTATTCTTACCTCGGGGCATTTCCGGCAACAAGCGCTTTTATTCGGACGATATGCAATTTTGTCTGAGCATGCAAGCGGGGGGCATTGTACGCGTGGACATTTAACTTCCAGTGTGATTGGATTGCATGTGCAAGTGGCGCATCGATCAAATCCATTTGGTGGAAGATATGGATACCATGATGACCCAGCTGCATGGAATTGATCACCCAAACGACAACCACGTGTTACATTCGAATTGATATCCATTTCTTTCGCTATATGTGAATGAAATCGATTTATTTAAGTAAATTCATAAGTAAAACGCCAACACGTAAAATCGTAAAATCCAAAAAAATACTCACGTGAACAAGATGGGCAACATTCACCCTTGCGCGGTGGTCGTAATTCACCCTCTTTGCAATCCAACGGCGGACATTCTAGTTTATCGCACTTCACTCGACCGTAAATACAAGCGCACATGCTGCACGTTTCCAAACCATTTTGCCATTGTTCGCCTTCGTCATAAAATCGGCCCGAATGATAGCATTTTGGATCGGTTGGTACATTATTATCGGTATGATCATTTGGGCCTAAATCACCAACTCGATTCGTATCGATTCCGGGCATTGTGCATTGAATTGGAATTTTAACCGATCTCAATTTACCCTTCAATAAATGTGTGCCACTCTCTTTAGCTTTAACTTGTAAATAACACACGCTTGTCTCCAATTTTGATAGTTCATATGCTGACATTCCCATCACGAAACCTTCCAAATACTCGCCTTTGAATTCTTCTAAAATTTTTGTCGTAACTGGTGCATTAATGGCCTCAAGTGGTTTCTCCTCCAAGTATAATTCAAGGCCCTGTTGTGCATTATAACTGTTCAATGTGATTTCATAGTGAAGTGTACATTCGTTATCAACAGCAACCCATGCCATACCAACTAGATGTGCCGGTGCATTCGAGTCCAAACGTTTTAAAATGATTGGTTCTTCTGAGTCACGTGCATCGGCTAATTGTCTTCCAATCAATCGTCCTCGTATTAAATTCTGTTCATTTTCCGTGGCAATATTAATGGCTAAATTGTTTGCATACAATGGTTCCAAAACTCGTGGACCCATTCGATCAAGTACACCGATTGCATTGTTAAAACTCAGCGATGGTGTCAAATCTTCTAAATCAGTTTTACGCTTAACGCTATCGTCAACCAATGTGATGAGCGGGCTCTCTTGCAATTTCAAATCGTCCGTGTAAATGTTGTAAACAAGAGCACCGTCACGATTCATATAAGCCCATGCTAATCCGCTGGTCGTTGTTTTCGATTCGGTTGTTGTTGGTGCTAAAACTGTTTGATAAATCTCGCATGTTGCTCGCGTTAAAATCGATCCTTGAATATGAATTTCTGGTCGTCGTCGTGATTCCACAATCAAATTCAATTTACCGCGAGTCAATGATCGTAAATCTTGTGTCGTTACCGGCGATGAGAATTCAATAACATTATAGTCATAATTGGATTTTTTTACAACGACCGTATCTTGAAGAACTTTTTGCTTTTTATCGGCTATTTCGAGGCGAACATTTAGCGGAACATCGGCACTCTCATTAAGGAATAAACCATTCAAAACTAATGTTAAATGAATCGATGATGTTGCACCGCTGCTTGTTGACACAACAGCCGTTCCACCGGCTCCATTTAGCTCTTTCAGAACAACACCTTTGTCAGATGGTGCCTCAAGCAACGATGTAAACAATTCACTTGATAATGCTGGATACTTTGAAATTTTGCCAGCCAATGCGAGTTCAGCATGTAATTTTGAACCCCATAACAACACAACATTCATCTCTTCGTCGCGCAATTGACGTCGATATTCGCGTGGAACGCGTCTCCATACGCCGCAAACTTTTCCGGTTGCATTCTGATAGACGCTGAATATATTGCTCGATTGTACCAAAATGATTTCTTCGAGAATATGACCAGTTTCATCGATGAATTGAATGGCACGTGGACGGCTTGCTCGTTCCGATACATAAAATGAGAAATACAAATTCTTCTTGTGGAACGTAAAACGACCGGTTGCAATAATATTTAATGGGTTGTTAGTAACGTAAGGCGTTTTAATTTCCTCACGATTCAAGAAATACGATGTGCGTGTGGTTAACAGAGCACCAAAATCTATTGGCATCAACCATAAAAGAGAGAGAGAAATCGAAAGAAGAATCTCATTAGCAATGTAGAAAAAATATCTTGCAGCAAATATGAAATAAAACACGAAAAATTGCGGGAAAAAACCCCGATGATAATCTAAAAATAAAAAAGTTTTCTACTTACGTTTCATATTTTTTTCTTCCTCTTCTTGTGTTTGCAGCACTGGTACATCTTGTGCTAGTTCTTGTTGTTCTGTAATAATAAAGCAAGTAAAACGTATTTATTAGTTTTGCTGACTAAATATGGCACATAAATTCATTTCGCCTAGTTGCCTTTGCTGCGCTTGCAATGATACGTGTGTTCGCGCATCAAGCGCTCATAACTTTTATATATATATATATCTGTCTCTCTGTATAATATGAATTATGTTAAAGCGCCACTGTCTACCCAGACGGTTAATTCTTCAATTCAAGACGACATCAGCAGCTTTGTAAAACGAACTCAAAATTACGTGGCCTGAGGAGATTTTTGCTGCTCTCTCTCTCTCTCTCGCTCTTCATTTAATACTATTCATACACACATACACATACGCGCGTGCATCACAGACACACCATATTTTTATGCAATTGATTTCTTCTTCTGATGCATACAATACAATCGAATCAAAAGACGACCTTTTTTTCATCTGCTTTTAAGAAGTAAAATCAGATCCAATTCACAACGCACAATCATGTTTTTTTACATTGTTCGTGCATCTCACTTCGGATAGAATCTGGTTGTGCCCAAATTCGTCGGTCCTTGAATAACGAATCTCTTTGGATCACACGATGCATTATGTATAAAACAGCAAAGCGTCTACCTCTAGGTCTACTACCTTGATCTCAAGTGCTCATCAAGTCAAGAAGAGAAAAAAAAGAGAGAGATATTAATCGAGTGCTTAAAGCAGACAATTACCTCAATTTGAATGTGTTTTTCATTGCAATTTTCATCGTTGAAAAACCAGTATCCAGTTGGAGAAGGAATAACAGGTAAATTCTTCACAATGTGGTTCAATAGATCCAAACAACAATGGAATTTTATCAAATCAAATAAACGGTGAAATCGAGCGAGAATACAAACGATCATTAGCTCAAATTTCATTTGATTTCAAAAGACTCTTTTTTTTCTAAAATGAGAAAAACGACTGCGATGATCCATCGATGGAATTTATATTCGAAATTGACATAGCACATTTTTAAAAAAACTGTTCTATTCTGATGCCATTTATGACGTATTTTGTCACATAATAAATGTGGAACAAACGAATTAATTCCAGTTTCGACGTGTAAAAATTATACATTAATTTTTTCCGAGAATATCAGTTCAGAGACAAATCGGCAACAAAACGCACAAATCTCTTTCATTCAACTAACGTATGAATGAATGTGATTTTTTGTGTGTCTTCTTTTTTTTTTGTGTAAATTCGACATTGAGATGAAAGCAAGGAGCATTTTTAAGCCTGTTTTTGATTACATTCGGAGATTTTCATTCTTTCTTTTTCTTCTTCTGCGTGCGTATTGTTTGTACGAAATGTAGTGATGCCGAAAGAGCCATGATGACACGTTTTCTATATAGCGAATAATGAAGGCGGTAAGTGTATGGAGAAGCAGAGGGAGAGAGAGAAACACACAAATATGCGTATATAACACCTAGTTTGCGCTACGCTGCAAATATTGAACCACCCACACGCATTGCACATCTCAGTCGGTTGAAAAATGCACAAAAGACATGAACGAAACCGAAAAGAAGAACGAATCTAATGAATAAGGTGTTTTATTTTTTTATTGTTCGTTCATCTAGTAGAGCCGCTTCCGCAATCCGTTCAACAATAGAAATTCCATTTCATTATGCACCTTTTGTCAAATACTATAACGAATGCATTCCATTTGGACGCACATCGAATCTTTCATTTTCTCTTCTTCTATCTTTTGAAGAAGAAGAAAAAACGTGCGATACGATGAGCCGCCGGCGCAGACTTCTCGGCGGTAAAATATCACAAACAACTGCAACGCAACCAGTGGCCATTGTCTTCGTTTGTTATTTTTTAATTCGGAATTATTGGTTTCCATTTTGTCTGAAGGATTCTTTATTGTCTGTTTTCACCTTTTCTTTCAACATTCCAACCTGCTGTCGACTAGTTTACACTTAGGTGGTTCAATTTACGAGAGCCGTAATTTTTTTTACCCATTACGTGTATTTCCGACACTTTTTCTTTCCTCTCCATTCAGTTGTTTGTAAAATCTCGGAAAAAACCCATTTGAATGACATTCTTGAGGAAGGAATTATTGTTAAGCTTCGAAGAATATTGCAACAAAAGATAGGAAATGAATGTAAGATGTTTTCTACGCCAGCATGTTGTCATGGACTTTTATTTGCTTCGGATAGTTTTCGGTTTGGTTGAAGTGCCAAAATTCATACGTTGAATAAAAATTCACGTTCATTCATGAATCTACTTGAAATGTGCGCTTCAATATTGTATTGAATTTTCACTTTGGTCAGTGTTTGCGACAACAATACAAACTAATAAGGACAGAGATTTCATTTGAACTCATTCCGATCGGTGCGAATTCATTGCACGTGTAAACATGCGGATCGCTTGTGATGATCACATAAACATCCGTTTGGTGTGCCCATTTCTGTATGGCTGACACACACCACCGACTTTGAAGTGATGCTCTTGAAGTGAATATGTCGAGAGAAAAAAAACGACGTCAAATATAGAAGTGAAGCCGATTCTGGCTAATCGCAAAGCGCAAATCGGACATTAATCCATTTAAAGAGTCATTGTGGCCATTGTGCATGTAAGTCGAGAAAATCATCATTATTCACCATCTGATCGTCGTATGATTTGCATAATTGTGCCGAATGGCTTATTGTTAGTTCGTTATATACGAACGCCGCCGTAATTTATTCTTAATTTGCATTGTTTGTGCACATTTCTTCATATTTTTTTCTCTTCTGTTCAATTGACCGTGCAACCGACAAAATCAGAAGGAGACTCAAAACGAATGCAAAAAGGAGGCCACATCATTGGCTTGATGAATTTGAACCACACGTTTTAATTTCGGTCGGATATGTGATTCTTTTTTTTTTTGCTTTTCGTTTGAATGACACGAAATTAACATTTAAATGGATTAAATTTGGGCACGTACATGCGAAAAAAAAAAAATACGAATGCAACAGTGGGAATGAGTCATAATTGGTTCAGCAGTGCAGAATAAGAATAAAATCAGAAGAATCAGGCGCCGTGTTTATTAGCATATTTTTCAAACAATTGAGAATTAAGTTTGATCTGGAATATTTTCAAAATTTCAATTTTGTTCTTTCTGTCGGCAAATATGTTACGATGCAAAATAATCGCAAACACGCGACAAATAAATCATCACTCATCTTTTTGATGAAAAATATTCGCGCGAGCGGTTATGCACAAAATGCCACGAGCCAGTCGTGAAAGAAGAAAATTACCGAAAAGAAAATGTTTATTTTATCGCTGACAGACATCGTCAAGCCTCATGAAATAAATTTGCTCCATATTGTCAAATTCAGATTTGTGCGGTAACGTTTTGCTTTTTCACCATTCTACTTGGGCGAAAATCGGTGTGTTTCTCAAAAATTCACATATCGCTTACGTATTCGTTTTTGTGATGGAAATTGTTTTGATAGAGTTCTCATCTTGCATTGAACTGTTCTGTCAAACGAATTTAATCAAGAAAAGTGTTACGTTCAAATATCAAATAAACAGCGTGCTTTTTTTGAACGTGAGCACAAGAGAAAGCGATCGCCTTTAAGAAAAAATACAATTTTATTGTATTAATTTTGACACAAATAAATTGCGAACGAACTGCGTTTGCACACACGCACACTCACACGCGGCCATTTTACAACTCAAAATAAGAAATTAATTAAAATACGATATAGTCGAAAGTCTTCACGGTTTTGAGTATGAAATACGCGCAAAATGCAATATAAAAATGCTCGATCGAAATGAAATGTGTGAAAGAAGCCGAGAGAAAAAAAAGTGTGAGACAAGAGGATGAGCTTGAAGAAAGCAAAGCCGAAAAAATTGATTTATTCGAACAGTTTTTGGAAAACCGCCAGCTTGTGAAAATATATATACACACACTTTTTGCCAGTGCTTAGCGCATTGTGCTATGTTTCTATGGCCAAATGCTCTTTGAACGATTTAAATTGGGCATACGGTACAGAATCAACCATGAGAAAATGAGTCATCGACTGAAGTGGATCGAGAGACAGCGCAAAAAATAGAGAAGCAAACTAGCATCCAGTCCCTGTTTATGCCAAATGGATGCCACGCAAAAAAGTCTCATCCAAAATAAACAAAATCAAGCGCACACCATTTGCCGTAAATTTCCAACATTGGTAAATATGAGTGTGTCGCATGAGCGTGGTTAGAAGGTTGAATTGTTTTATTTATATGAAATCGACACTTCAAGAAACATCTTTCTCTATATTTTAAAAACAGCAACAACAACAAGAAAAGACCAAACAAAACAAACTGTGAAACGCGCAGTGGCAGTGTAGCAGTGGCGACATTCACAATAGATGGAAACGTTCATCGTTTGTTTATGAAACCCACTTTTTCGTTGCATTCATTGCGATCATATATGTCTTTATCTTCATTTAATAACGCCCACAGGCCACTTTTCCGAGAAATTATCGGGCGCACAACAGCGCACACAAATGGCAACAACACTCACTCATTTCAAGCTGGCAATCGCACACACTACGCACCAAATGTCGTCTAGAACAACAGCAGAACGCTGTCGAGACTTTCGAATGCGGATGAAAAATAAGCAGAGAAAAAAAAAGAAATATAAAAAATAAAAAAAAAACACTTTTACTTCTTTTCAATTAAGCATCTTTTCTCATTTAAAATCTCTGTCGCCTTCAGGCGAATAGAGTGATAGTTATATGTAGGAGTTGGAAGACATTACGCACACCAATCGCTCTGACACTTAAAATCACTGCTTTTTATGCAGAAAAATGAATGATGACAGTCCATAATTTTTATTGCGTTTCAATTAGATAAGACACACACTCTTGCTTGGCCTTTGAATAATATGTTGGTGATGTTTTGAAGAATATTGCTGTAACATCGTTCATTCATTGTTGTTAATCACAACGAACACGGGAAATTCGTTGACTTTTACGTATGGTTGTCATTCTAATCTGGAGCCAACACATAAAAGCTCGCTGCGTAAAACTATTAAAACTGACTAGATAAGTGTAATAAATCAAGCTCTTGGCCGAGATATTTCGCCATCGTATTATTATTATTATTATTTTGTTATTTGGCGCTACTGACACTTACCAACCATAGATTGTGTGCAAAGAAAAAAAAAATATATGAACGAACCACACCAAAAAGATTTAATTTTATTCCTGGCCTAGCGAAAATTATAAATTTAGTTTGAATTTGCGGTTTTTTGAAAACAGACACCGATATAATACTATGTTTTACTCGACACATGGGTGTGCGTGTGATCGTATGTCAGATTGTTTTTCATTTTGCCACAGGGATTGTGTGATAATCATTTTGATTATTAACGAAATAATTCGAACGAGAATGGAAAAAGATCAACCAATTCACCGTACTGTCAATGAATTAAAAACCATTGCGAAAGGATTGACGCATTGAAATTGTGATGTGACCGTGTATTTGTGGACTTTATATGCGGAATAAAGCCATTGGCTAGAAGGTTCTTTCAGGGATAGAGAGCCGCGGTCGCCGAGTGTGAGGAAAAAAGAATGAGTAAGAGATAATAGCCTCACACAATCGGCTGCGAAATGAGCACAAGCGAAAATAGCATATCGTCTCAATGCTAGAGGAGAATGAATCTAGAAGGCATCGATGATTACCGAAACGATGAATCCCAGACACTGAAAAACATTAAAGTCAGCGAATTTGCATTGAAACGCGTCTGGTTCACATGCATACATGCCAAAGCTGATCAAAACCATTTAAATACAATTGTTCCATAGACCATTTTATTTCATTTAAAATGCAAGACGCATGACCAGCTCTTCGTGTGCTCTTTTTCATCTTCTTTCGGTTGGGTTTCGCTCAGTATGGCTATGCCGTCGATCTTGTTGTCGTCGTCGTTCAACAAATGTCTGCATTCGCCGAAGTGTGAATCGTAATTTTATTAAAATTTATGTTCATCTTTGTGTCTGATTATTTTTTGTTTTGTGCGCTCCTTTTGTGCGAAATTGTCATTATTTTTATCGTATATACCCCCGACACGAGCATATTATATCGATTTTCTTGAATCGAATAAAAGAGAATCGCTTGCTGATTGCATAGAACAGTAATGCGTGAGAATGATAAAGTATAAACGCGAATTAAAATGACATACCATCGAAATCAGCCGTCGTTTTATTCTTTTTCATATCTACATCAGCTATTCGAATATTTTTTTGCGGTTCGTTCCATTCATGGCGGAAGAATTTTTTCATTTTTCTACTCATTATTCTATACAGAATGTGTCCAGTTCATATTCCGTACGGAGTCGAATTTTTTTCGGAATCACCAAATTTCAAAATAAAAGCATCTCAATCGCCTTTTTAAAAAGTTGCGCCCAGTGTTCGACGTTGTCGCATTGAATTCGAAGAGAGTTTTTTTTTCTTTATTTTTTATTTGTTTCAACTCGATGATGATATTTGTCAAAATATTTTCCGTTGGATTTTATTAATTCAAAGCAATAAATTATATCCATTTTGACTTTATATTCATAAATGCAATAAATTAGCCAACGATACGGCAGATATTGTCTTGAATTCGTGCTTTCTTCTTGAAATTACTGTAAAAACACGTCCACACACACTCACATTCAACCATCGAATCGCATAGCACAGCCGTGTGTCCTGCATGTCAATCAGCATTTTTCGCAACCGTGAAAAGATATTCAAACCGTTCAAATCTCCTGATAATCTACATTTGACAATAATTGGTAGGCAATTTATGAACGTTATTTTCTCACAGCAAATGTGCTATTTTAACTGTCAACATCGTAGTTTAGTGATGAGAACATTTCGATTGCTTCAACGGCAATGACTTTTCGACATTCAGACTGCTGTTTTAATATCAAACGAGAGAGAGATAGAGTGTGTGTGTGTAAGAAAAGATTCGATTTTTGTGGAATTGAAATCATAAAACGAGCGGTCAACAACAAACCCATCAAATACACACTTTCCTTCTATTTGATTGTTTTTTTTTTCTTCGCATTTTTAAGGAAATGTGTTCAAATTCGCAAATTGGCCGTTAAAAAAATCGCATAAAAACCATTTTACTCAATGGCATGACGTAAATGTATAGTTTTCACATTTGGAAAGGATTTGTTTTCCACTTTTTTGCCATGTTCATTTGGATGTCAGTCAATTTTGGTGAGTGTGCGAGAGAAAAAGAGCAAAAATGACGATCAAAAGGAGAAAGAAAAGTGTGTGCTGTTACGACGAAAGCGAACACAAATAAATATCCAAAACATTATGTACTATTTCTGAAGCAAATATGCTTTATTTTGATCGAATGTGCGTATTTTTTTCACTCTTTCCGTCTATAAATTCGAATGATGATCACGGAAGGCAAGCCAAATAGATTGTGTGCGTGCGCGCGCGCTGTTGGTTATATAATAATTTGTATTGACGCCTGTTAAATGTTCAATGTGATGTGCGATGAACGCTCGATCGTTTGCGAGCTGTGAAACGATGAAATGTTTAACAACTAAATAAAAAACCATTCTCGATTCTAAAACAGATGGATGGGAGAAAGAGAGTGAAAGAGATGGGAAAAGCTACTTAAGAGTGAAAATGGTGCGTTTCACACAGCCACAACAAATCCATATTAAATCAATCATCAGACGTATACAATAAATTTTAAATTGTATTAATAATATGCGTATGCAGTGAGACGAGAAAAAAAAAACAAAGATAAAAAGAACAGAAGAAAATAAAATAAAACCGCAAATGTGACGGCGGCCAAATTACATCGAAATATAGTCGTCGAGAATTGGGAGGACGAATGACAAAAAAAAATTGAAATGAAATTGTGTCAGCTCGTGCGCGCCGTGTACAAAACCAAACGAAATGAATTTTAAAATAACAGCATATAACCATATTTCATGCATTTAATATAGATGTTTAGAATGGCTTACCGTTTGCTTTACCCGGACACACTTTGCAACATTTCCCTGGCAACTGCAAAGGTTCGTCACAATCAAGTTTTGGACATTCGTTTTTTATGTTTCTGCATTGGACTCGAGCCACAATTCGTCGTCGTTTTGTTACCTGCAACAACAACAAGAAAAAAAAACAAATTTTTGAAAAAATAACATATATGTATAAACACATCAAGCAAATCGTATCAAATTAATCGCTAGAATATTTGTCATTCGACTACAAAATGTCCTATTTATTATTTAAACATACACCCAGAGAGAGGAGAGAGAGAGAACAAATGGTCGTTGCTTCTGTGAATTCACCACTCTATTCTTTTTTTCATTCAATTTGTGTTTTTGCCGTAAAAAATTTAATGCTTAGCCCAATAAAAGTGACATTCATATTTTTTATTTGCTTTAAAAGGTTGTGCACACATTGGAAAATGTGATCGGATGATGTTCACTTCGCGTCCCGTGTCTTTCTTACTTTTAAATAATAAAAAAAATATCATACTAATCATTTTGTGGTATTTTGCTGGCCTTTGCATTTGCTTGAATAGATCTTGAGACGCACATAAAATAGAATAGAAGAAAAAAGATTACGCGTAAAATAACACAAAATTAAACAATAACCAGAAACGTTGACTTTTATTATTGAAACTGGATAGTGTAAGTGTTTGTGCATTTATTGACTAAACAAATAAAAATGTGAGAAAAGATTGGAATCGAAGAAAAAAGAAACAACAAAAAACATATACACATGCAACTGAAGTTGCAGAAAAAAGGCGGCAACTCCAAGTGTATAATAAAATAGTTCGTATATTAATAAACTGGCGCCAAAATGTTTTCACATTTTCTTTTGTATGCAATTGTGTAGATTCTATTTACACGTTACAGCGAATGCGATGCACGTTATTTCTCTTTCGCTCTCTCTTTCCTGCCATTTCATTGCATTTATCAATTTTCACGGCAGTGCACGAAACATAGGTTGATATGAATTCACACTTACGAATATGAATTCAAATGCCGTCCGACTATGACTATGTGTGTTGGTAGCTCGTAGGCTTTTTTTGCGTATTCGGTCTCTATCGAATATCGTTATCAAAACCAAATGCCAACTGATAGAAATTTACAACTAGATTGCGTCGTTTTATTTTTCACTCTATTCACAATCGTCATTTGATTTCGATTGCAATAGTGCGAGCAGCAAAACACACATATTCCAGATAACAACACCTAAATAAGATTTGTGACTCATTTATAAAATGATTCAAGAATCTCAGTACGTTATTTATTCCCATTCGTTTTGTTTTATTTTCTTTCTTTCTTTCAATATTATTTTTCACTTGAAGTTGTGCTACAAAACAAGCGGGAATCATGAATCCTACGATACAATGTGCTTTTAATGTTGGCTTATATTACGATGACTCTCTTTTCCTCTCTCTGTCTATTTCCCTTTCTCTCCTACATTTACTCAATAAATTCACTTGATACGCTCTCGAAATTGCGTTTGATTGCAATGCAAAAATGCAAAAGTAGCTGGGCGCCTGGTGTGAGTGTCTCATTACACTTCAAGTGTAATGTTTTTCAATTCGATGAAAAACGGTGTTTTTTTTTTGTTTGTTCATGCACAAATTGGTGGCGCTTAGCAATATCATAAACAGAAATAGCGAAGACACTCATTATTATCAAACCACAATTGGGTTGACGTGGAGACATAAGTCCCAACAGTATAATATTGTCTTCATTTTTATTTTTCAAATGGTTAAAAAAAAGTTCAATTTTTAACATGACCAGGACGAGTCCCGCACACACCAAAAAATATTCATGCCAAGTACTTGTACATCATTTTTCAGAGCAGACAAGAAAAACACGAGTTTTGTAAAACATTGTATGTATATTTTCTGGTTGTCGGCTACATTTAGCGGAATAACATTTTTTTTTTTCAAATACAAACACCAAATAGGCATTTGCGATTTAGAATTTGTGATTTGCTGTACACAACAAGTCATGTGCGCACACACGCTCACAGATAGATGTGTGTTATTGTTGTGAACATTCGTGGCGCCGGCGGGCGGTTTTATCGCAATAATTAAATTTTACTCTTTTTTGCATGGGCTCTGATTCTCTCTCCTTCACTTTTTCGCCTCTTCATGAGCACGATTGTCAGTGCGGCGGTGTTTACCACACACTTTAAGCGCGTATTTCGTCACTTGTACATGCTGCAGTTTTTTTTTCTAATTGGTTTAGCAATTTTTCAACTAAATTTACATAATTCCGACCGAAATTAAGATGAAGTTTTCAGAAACGACAAGTGACAATTGCATCTATTTTCGAATCATTAATTATTTTCACCGGTTTTAATTTATTTTAAATGGTTTCATTTCAAAATAAAAAAAATGGTATCATTTCAAAGTGCTGCACTTTTTTTGTGTGCGCGTGTGACTCAACTGTGGTGGCGTGTCATGTGGATGGTAACTTTGTTGCAATTTGTAATTATCGTTTGGTAAAAGGATATGCATTATATTTATAACAACAAACCCATCGTAAAAAGATACACATATCACATATTTGTTTAGTTCACATGCCATATCAATGAAATTAGCAAACATTACAATGCACAATTCTGCCGATGCGATGCACTTAATGAATGACTAGATAGTCGCCGTGTTGATCGAATGGCATCATAATGAGTAATGAAACCCATTTAAATGGAGATCGTCGATATCGTTTTCCGTGGTTTCTGTGTTTTTTATTCTTCATTCAATTGGAAAATGTGTGGGAACGACAACAAGAGCCACAAGTCTTCGGTTGCTGTTTTTTTTTCTACTCTAAATGAGGAGAATACATTTTGTAATCAATCTAAATTTGCAACATAGCTGATGACTGTGATCGATTCTCGTGCATTTTTCCTGTCTCTTTTGCCTATTATTATATTATCTGTTATGATCGAAATTACGCACTGACGCGATTGCGTGTAAATATTATACGGAACAGAGTGATAACGCCATCGGGAACGCCACACACTATTTTATGTGCTGTAATGTATATCATCTGATGTATTTGTGCGAATATTTCGTCCATGTGACGTTCAACCATGATTTATACTTTTGAAAAGAGACTCTCTTTAAAGAGACAATTGTATGTTTTAGATGAGATTTTTCCGTTATTGTTTATTTTGAAATTGAATGCCATTCATCCGCAGAAATTGCAACCGCAATCTTTCACTCTTGTCGTTTCCATCTTTTTCGCTTTTTTTTTCAAAAAAAAAAAACGACTCATTTTTGCGGAGGATTATTATTATAATAACAAACTATCAGTCGGTGTGTGTTGATGGTGTGTTGAGTGAATGAAAAATCATTTTCATTAAATAAAATCGCTTTGTGAAAAGACGTAAAATGAGCGCGTAGTCTCTGTTTTTTCGTTCGAGAATCGCTTTTTTCTCCCGCGTCTTGTTTAAATAAAAACCAAAAAAGTGTTTGTACGAAAATAATCATTTTTCATTGAGGTCGCTTCTATTTTTTGCTGATGTAACCTAATTTCATCGCATTATTACGTGTTTTTTTCTCCTTTTCGCCTTTTTTGTCTTTCCTTCGCGGATGCATTTGTTTATGTACACACACACACGCATACAAATGTGCAATAAGACGCAAACAGATTAATTTGTGTGTACAAAATCCGACGGTCATCATATCACGACTCAATTAGCATTGAACGAATATTAAATACAACGGATTGACGCTCTCTTCTTTTCCACGCATTCGTACGTTTTTTTTTGTTTATATTGGCCAATATGAATTGCTTGCGTTGACAATCTGCATCGAACAATTGTTTGGTCTAGTGCAATGTCGCGATGTGTTTGTATTTGAACAAAGTAAATACCAGCGTACATCCGACACTAGTATGTGCAATCACATTGAATCTCTGGCGAGCGGTATTCAAACTCATTATTTTGAATGTTGATTATTTTGTACGAGCCAAAGAAACCGAACAGGAATGAAACAGAAAAAAAACGCTCGAGATGGAAGAGCCCGAAAAGAAATAAAACAAAAATTAGGTCGATTTTGACTTTTTCTTTTAGAACACGTCGATAGGCCGCTTGGAAAACAGAAGGAGAGAATGTTTTCGAATATGGTAGCGAAAAAAGAGAATTGAACACAGCTCGAATATAAAATTGAGTGAGTTGAACATTTTGATGCACCATATTTATTTTTGACTGTACGCAAAACCGAAAATAAATCCATAATGAGATTTAATGCCGTTTGTGCTCTTGCGTGCTTCTCTTCCTTTCTCTTTCTCGTTCGGCAAATGCACTGTGTTTACAATTCGGATGAAATAAATTAATTTAAAGTTGGCGATGGTACGCTGAATGCTCACATCTCAAATAAATAAGAGACGAGTACCAGAGTGATCGTTTTTTAAATTGTAAATCACACTGTGGCACGGCCTGTGCCTGATTTCCTTTCAGCATTATTTGTTTATATACTTTTTGCAAAAAAAATATGCCCCTTCCGATGGCCGTTTCGGAAAGAGGCATCAAAAAACGCGGCTAAAATACGTGCACGTTGATATATTGTAAGTTGCACAAAAACGACCAATTCTTGCTGAAATTTCAACATTTTAATCTCGTACAGTTCCAGCGATCTGCAATAAACGCGCATGCAAATTGATTGTTACTTTGAACAGTTAGAAGAACAAGCGCGCATTCCATCGCGGTTGCAGTAACGAAATCGTAAAAATGATGCAAATAAAACGCTGATTGAGCGAAAATAACTTAATTAATTATTAACAAGGGCCGATATGATTTCGGTGCGGGTATTTTTTTTAAAACTCCCTTTTATGCAATATGCAGTGTGTGTGTGTTTTTTCTCTTCTTTATATTGAATTTGACTAATTGAAATTTATATACCGAAATAAAAACAGTAATGATGGTGTTGACGTGATGATCATCGAAACAGAATATAAAACCGAATTACACAAAACTCGTTGTTGCTGTTCATTTGTGCTCCATCTTATTCTCTCTGTCTCTTTCTCTCTTTCTTATTCAGTTATTGCGCGCACGCTTGGGTGCAGAGAGCATCATACAGAGTGCCAACCAAATCGTGGTCGGTGTTTTGTAGTGCGTGTACA